AAAAAAAAAAAAAAAAAAAAAAAAAAAAAACAGAAGAAGAAGAAGAAGCAAGGACTCTACCTGAGGTCCCATAACACATACCCAGGTGGCATCTTTTTTTTTCTTTATTCTTTTGTAGAACTGGAGTTTAAACCCAGGGCTTTGTATACACTGCTAAGCTACATCCCCAGCCCTTTTTATTTCTATTTTGAAAGAGTCTTGCTAAATTGCCCAGGGTACTGTGGTTCCTTCTGCTTCATGCTTTCTCAAGTGGCTAGGATTACAGGCATGCACTGCACCCAGCCAGGCATCTTTCATGGAAGGTGGTCAGATTTCATTAGTAGAACACAAGTTCACTCATTGTGAGGCAATCCAGGGAAGCTGGATTCTCATCTGCCTCAACATTTATCACGAAGCAAATCACATAGCACCACACCTTGTCAGCCTCTCAACTGTCAGAGGAGAGTATTCCTGCTTTTGCTCAGTTGACTATTGTGAGTTTAAACTTCATCTACTAAGGGCCAGCGAGATAGCTTAGCAGACTGAGCACCTACTTAGGCAAGCACAGGGACTGGGGTTCTATCCCCTGCACCACATGCCTGGCCAGCCCCGCCCCCAGTCATGCTGAGCCAGTCACCCAGTCTGGGTGCTATGGTGCATGCTGTAATCCTAGCACTGGGGAGGCTGAAAACAGGAGGATCACTACAAGTCCAAGCTGTGTAGTGAGACCCCTCACCAAATACATAATAAATAAATAAATAACTTCATCTACTATACAAACATAGTCAAGTTTTATGCCATATGCCGGGGATCATCTTTGTTGTACAAAGGATGATATTCCTTGTAGAGAGTATATATAATGAATAGACTCTTCCCTGGTTTAGTTTTTCTATACACATGTCTAGCCAGGTGGCGAATCAGGCAATGACCAGAAAGTGAGCCCCTCCTGATCTTTTGTTCTCTTGCTGTTATGATTAATTAAGCACCTTTGAGTGTGCATGAATAATTGAACTAATTTTGTCTTGAATGTAAGAACTTGTACTTACCGGTGAGGAATTTCTCCTGCTGAGATATATGTGGAGTTGTCTAGAAAATAATTGTAAAGCATTTTGCCAGTTTAATATGCCACTTGTAATTGTGCCAAGTGCTTCCTAGGAAGGCTCCCTCACTCTATAACCCTGATTTTTTTTTTTTTTTCTGATTTTACTCAAAACTAGGGCTGGAGGAGTTCCCACTGGTCACAGGTATTGCTGACCAGGGGAAGTACTCAGAGCAGGCTTGCCAGTGCCATTTTTGTTCTCTGAGTAGCCAAGCTCCACACCCTTCTGAATTACAGCTCATTTGGGCCTTTGGTGCCATTGTCAGCTGTTTCCTTGCACATTGCTGGCACTGACAATGAAGACAAAGCTCCCAAGGTACCTACAGGATTAGCCAAAGGCTTGGCAGGCTTGCTCTATCCATGAGAATTAGAATTCTGAGTTGCTGCCAGCCATCCCACGGTCTCTGCATTTCTACAGGAACCATGAACCAACTTGGCAAGAGTCTGGAAAACACGAGTGCAATATCCCCTTTTTAATGGAATAAATATTACTCCATAAATGCTGTTTTATTAAAGTCAAACAAAAAGTCTCTACACTTGGTACTGGGGATCGAATCCAGGGGTGTCTTTCACTGAGCCATATGCCTAGGCCAGTGATGGCAAATATTTTAGAGCTTTCTGTGATACAAATAGCCTGGGTGGGGCACATGTGGCATAGGTTCATCACCACTGGCCTACTTCTTTATTTTTTGAAATAAACCAGCCCAGCCCCCAGGGCGCACTCAGATGGCGCGATTGAGACTGGGCATGGTGGTACATGCCTGTATTCCAGGCTCTTGGGAGGCTGTAAACAGGAGAATCACTACGAGTCTGATCTGATAGTGAGACCCTGAACACCCTGTAGACCCTTCCCTAAAATACAAAAAATAAACAAATAAAAATAAAATTGAGAATAAAACCAATGAAAGGGGCTGGTGAGATGGCTCAGTGGTCTAAAGCACCTACTTAGAGCAAGCTAAGCTAAGCAAAACACAGGGACCACGGTTCAATCCCCCAGCACCACATGCCAGCCAGCCCCGCCCCCTGGTGGGCTGAACTGGCCACACACAAAAAAAAAAAAAAAAAAAAAAATAAAAAAAAAAAGAACATAAATTTCTAAAAAAAAAAACCAATGAAAGCCTTTAAACTAAATTGTTGTAATTTTGTCCTTTGATAGTACTCTTTTCACTGAATTAAATCATAAAACAGTGAAAAGTATTATTCAGTATATTATTCAGTAGCATAATAAAAATTTTAAGTCCCTCTAGAAGAAAAACAAATTAATATAACCATATTATTCCTAAAAATTAACAGTATCTCCTTAACATCATCAAAAACTCAGTGTTCAAATTTTCAATTGTCCTATTTCATAGAATTTTAAAATATTTTTGACTCAAGATAGAAAGTAAAGAGGCTGGGAAGATAGCTCAGTAGAATAAGTGCTTGTTCCTGAGTTCAATCCCCTGTACCACAAAAAAAAAGATACAAAGTAAAATAGATCCACACATTATAGTTGGTTGGTAGGTCTCTTGAGTCTTTTTTTAATCTCTAGTCTCTGCCTTTATCCTTTTTTCTTAAAATTTATTTGTTGAGAAACTGGAGTTACTTGTCTTGAACTTCCCAGATCTGGTTTTTTCTTGGGGGGGCAGGGGAGGGGGTTGTGGTGTTTTTGGCAGAACCGGGGATTGAACTCAGGCCCTTGCACTTGCCAGGGAAGCATTTATTCTACTAAGCCATCTCTGCGGCCGCCAGCAGATCTGGGTTTTGCTGATGGTGTCCCCTAAAGCAGTCTGACTTTGTTTCTCCCCAATGCTTTTCTTTGGGTACAGGCGTAGAAGCGAGGTCAGCCTTCAGGCACCACTGGCTGGTTTGGCTTGGATGAATCTCACTTGAATTTGTTCTCTCCCTGAAAGCTGCACCAGAACCAGCTGGAGCTCCAGGAGGTGCGGCTCTCCTACCGGCAGCTGCAGGGGAAGGTGGAAGAGCTCACGGAGGAGAGAAGTTTGCAGAGCTCTGCTGCCACCAGCACATCCCTCCTGTCAGAGATAGAGCAGAGCATGGAGGCCGAGGAGCTCGAGCAAGAGAGAGAGCAGGTGCTGATGTCCCTGTCACCTGGCAGGGGAAGTGGCCACACAGTGCCAGGGCCCATTGTCCTCCCAGCACTCCACTGCCGCCTAGTGGCTCTGTACCTGCCTGAGCCCCTCAGCCTGCTAACTGGAGTGATAAAAGGCAGACCCTGATCAAAGGTGTCCCTATCCCTCCATGTCTTCCTCTTCTGCCCATTGAGACCTAAACAGAGCAGCCAAAAGACAATGACAGGTAGAGAGCCTGCTCCTTCTCACTAGTGCCCTATGCCTCTGGGGACCTATTTTTTGATTAGCAGCCTCATTTGTTGTGCTTTGCCAGAGTTTGGAACACTCATGATCCATTCTCACCATCTCATTGACTTTGTTTTATGCTTCTTATGTTTCATTCCCCTAATAATTTCCTGACTCTGATGAAAGAAACACTTTGTAGTAAAGAAATACTTTCGGGCTGGGGAGATAGCTCAGTAGAATAAGCACTTGCCTGGCAAGCGCAGGGTCCTGAGTTCAGTCCCTGGTGCCACAAAATATATATATATATATAAAATAAAAATGAAGAAATACTTTCTATAGCAAATCAAAGGAGCTGGAGTGCAGCCCACTTGGAACCCCTCCTGTCTCTCTGGAGCTAGCCTACTTCCCATCTCCCAGCTTGCAGCTGTGTGTGCCTCATTTTTTTGAGCACCCATGCTCACCTCTTGGATGCATCCTCTCTCTCTCTCTCTCTCTCTCTCTCTCTCTCTCTCTCTCTCTCAATAAATAAATCCCTCAATAAATATTTCCTATTATTTAATAATAAAAGGGAGAAGAGGCTGGAGATCAGGGAAAATAAGAATTGAGAGTCTAGAGTATGGGGCCCAAAATAAGTAGTATTCTCAAGAGAGATGATTTAAAAAACAAAACACTCTTTCCTACAAGTGATGTTTTGGGTTCATATACTATAGACAAAGATGGCCAAGTTTTCTGTAAAATCCATAATGAAGAATAATTCTTTGAAATACAGCTGAGATTGCAGCTCTGGGAAGCCTACTGCCAGGTTCGCTATCTCTGTGCACACCTTCGAGGGAGCGACAGTGCTGACTCAGCCGTGTCCACAGACTCCTCCATGGATGAATCTTCAGAAACCTCATCTGCCAAGGATGTCCCAGCTGGCAGCTTACGCACTGCCCTCAGTGAGCTCAAGAGACTGATACAGAGCATTGTGGATGGCATGGAGCCCACGGTAAGAGGCTACTTAGAGAAGGGCCTGACCCCACTGGACCTGGCTAATAGGAGGTTGGAACCTAGTGGAGTAGGGGAAGTTAACCTCAGAACTGGAACCTTATCATGTGTCTGCCAGAGTTCCTTCTGAGCCCTCAATGTATTTGAGAACTCTGAGCACTGATGACCTGGCAGAGGGTCTGAATGCCAGCCGTGCAAGCTCCCAGGTCACCTTTCTTTTTTTTTTTTTTTTTTTTTTTGGCAGAACCGGGTATTGAACTCAGGTCCTTGCCAGGGAAGCACTTATTCCACTGAGCCATCTCCCCGGCCCCCCAGGTCACCTTTCTGCAGACACCAAGGAACAAGCAGTCCTTTTCTCTCTGTGCTTATAAATGGACACTGGTGGCTTCACATTCAAGGACTTTCCTTGGAAACTGAGTAGAAAAATAGGTATTTGGCAAAACACAGCAAATTGCCATTCTGTAGCCTTTTGTTCCCGCTGTCTCTCTCTTGCTCCCTCGTGGAGGGAAAAGCTCGAAGTACGCAACCTTAAATGACCTCAAGTTTCTGCCTAAAGAATGTTGGGGGGCCTGCCCTGTAGCTCAGTTCTTGGGGCCGGGGAGATGGCTCAGTGGAATAAGCCCAAGGGTCTGAGTTCAATTCCTGGTTCTGCCAAAAAAAAAAAAAAAAAAAAAATGTAAATGGTCATAGTTCAGTGGAGACCAAAGTGAAAGGGCCTCTTAGAATTCTGTGTTGCTGGGAGAAAGGTGTTCCTGTGGTTTCTTGGCAGACTGGAATTTCTTCTAGCTTCATGACAGACTTTTCCCTGACTTACCTGCCATTCACACACTCAGCTCTCAGGCAGTGATTTCTTTCCAAGTTTCATCCTACTCCAGAATAGTTGTCTCTTTCTCCCCGTATTGGATGAAGGAAGATGAAGTGTGGTTGTTTCTGACTGCTGTGTCACTTCGGTGAACTTTCTGTAGTGCGGGGGTTAGGTCATTGTGGGAGAAGGGCGCTATCCCGGGGCCATGTGTCCAACCAAAGGCTGAAACAACCACAAAGTGAACTTCAAGCTGTCATTTGCAGGATGAAATTGAGCTTGGGAATCTCTCCCCGCTACCCTTTTTTCCTCCCCTTGTTTCATTTCCTCTTCCTTTTTCCATCCCTTTTTTCTCTCTCTCCTTTTGTCTTCCCCACTCCCACCACCTCTCCCTTCTCCTCCCTTGTTGCTTCCAACCCCACCCCCACTAACCATCTCTTGCTCCTCCCTATCTCTCCCCTTCCATCTCTGTCTGGATCTTCTTACTGCTGTCAGAGCTCCCGGAGAATTGAGGATGACTCCTTAGAAGAACAGATAAGGCAGACCAGTGAGGACTCAAGAGCCCTGAGGGAGCTCATGGAGGGAGAGAGGGGTAAACTGAGGCAAAGCCTAGAAGAGCTACAGCGACTCCACAGCCAGGTGAGCAAGCCTTCTTCAGCCGAGTGCAGGGAACATGCATGTGTTCCCATGGCTCGTCTTGTCCAGAATGTTCAATGCAGAGAGCCTCTCCACCATGGCAGCCACCAGAACTCTTATGGGAGTCGCCCTCACTCCCAGGGAAGCAGGCAGGGTGCAGGTTGAGTTCCAGAATGAGTGTGGAGATGGTAGCCAGCCCAGCGGGCATGGCACTCCATGCAGGGCTGGTTAGGCATCTGCTGTGTACCCACTGTGTGCCTGGCACTGTACTAGACCCTGCAAGGCACATGATGTCATTTATTTCATTTGACCCTGTCAAGTTCATAGCAGAGATTTTTTTAGGAAGTACGTACGGCTCAAGAAGATAAAGTTCTTTGTCCACTTACCTAAGGCAAGTGGCTGATGGGCTCCAGCTCACTAAGTTTTAAGTTCTTTAGGAGTTTTAACTGAATTGTGTTAAATATTGGGAATTTCCTGCTCAATATGTGGTTTTATCTGTCCCTTATTCTGCTAATAGACACTGGCTGGCCAGAGGCCATGTCAGGTCTCATTTGATCTGAGGAGATGGCTCTTTCTGTCAGTACTTTCTCTCTTGAGTTCTGGTGCAGAACTGCTTGTGATGTATGTGGCTGGGAGCCTCACCTGCTCCCTCATCTGCCTCTGGGCTGGAGGGATGTGTGTGCTTGGCCTCTACAAGGTCAGCCTGCACCTCCTCAGGGCTTAATCAGCCTGGCCTCACAGGACAACTGCGGCTTCGGACTATCCTCAGTACAGAGCACCAGGCTCTGACATGCCTTACAAGACTCCAAAGAATACAAAATCTGATGCCCATCAGGATGGTGAATTGTCCTTCTATATTTCTTCATTGTTGAGTATCCACTGAGCTTCTCCAAAGTGGCACCTCCCCTAGCTGGCAGCTCTGCTCTCTGTCTGGAGAGATGAATCTTCAACCTTTGACCTGGGTGCTCTGCTCACTTTCATTCTATCTGAAGATAATTAGACTTGGGTATTGAGGGGTATACTGAAAGGTGACATTAGTCCCTCGTGGAAGGGAGGCAGACCTGTGTAGACGGATCCTCCCTTGGAAAAATGTCAGAGTGTACTATTTAACAACAGGGCAGGATGAGGAATCCCAGCTCATGCCTGATGCTATCACCTAGCCAGAAAGGACGCCCACCCTTCCATTACTCAACAGATATTTACTGAAAGCTCTACCCAGGCAGCATTCCTGGCACTGTACTAGACCCTGAAAACTATATATACAAACTATAAAAATTTGATCTGCATAACTTAATCAGAAAGCAGATGGATTAGAATTAAATCTGGTAGCATACAGAATGAACAGGCAGGAAGGTGGGAAAACTCAGCTCCCAAACATGAAGGAACATGAGAAGGAAACAGCAAAATCAGCATTCTGCCTGGTAAGTAGGCCCCACTGGCCTGTGGCTTTGCCATACTCCCTCAAGAGCTGCAGTCCCAGGGGTGGGGGCAGGCGTGATTGCCAGGTTGGGGTCACATGCCTTACCCAGGCTGTGAAGGAAGGGAGTACCTGCCCTGCTTTGGCTTCCTCAGTAGGAGCACATACCCTGTCTTGCACCGATACTCATACAACCAGGAATGCCCCCCCAAATAAGACTAGGTTTTGATTGAGAGGTATCCCAAACCTGGTGAAATCAGTTTTGAGATAAAGCAGCATACAGGCTCTGGGTTAAATACGACACACTTCCTACTATGCCAGTGGTCATGGTGTACACAGAGTTCCTATACCGTGGGGTAGGGGTTGAACTGTCCTGGAACCCTGGAGGTGCACCGTACCATGCAACTGTGACTCGCAGGTCAGTGTCAGGACTGAGTATTCTGGGTACCGCTTACTGAGGCATGGACCACAGAAAGAGACCAGGTTGGCTATGAGAGGTAATATCATTTAGGCAAATAAGTTCCTTATCATTTTGATTTGGGGAACCAGATGAGAACTGGGCTGTGCTGTTGGAAATGCAAGGTCCCTGGCTGTGGAGCCATCGAGAGCCCTGCTGATCACAGTATTCCATGTAGAAGATGGCTGAGAAAAAAACATGAAATGCTATGCTCCCAGAATTGCTTTAGAGCCCTGAGGCTTTTAGTCTCCTCCCACTGTCTACCTGGTGTGCCTTGCCACAAAAGAGGTGGCACAATGTATGAGGGCAGAGAGCATCCAGCCTGTGGCCACAGGTCAGGGGCCAAAGCTCCCTTGGGTCCCTTGCCCCAGAGCTGGAGCCCAGCACATGACATCATTCCCCAGGAGAGGAGGCCCCCACAGAGCGATAGGGTGCTATAGCAGTCGGGCGCTACCATTCGACCCCACAAACACTTGAGGTTCTTGGTTCCTTTTTACCTCTTAGAGAAGTCACCCAAGCCCACAGCAATGGTGTCACCTCCTGTGTTCTTTGGCCTCCTATTAGGTGACACTGCTGAGTGTGGAGATGACTGCACTAAAAGAGGAAAGGGACAGACTTAGAGTGACATCTGAAGAGAAAGAGCCAAAGGAGCAGCTTCAAAAGGCCATCAGGGACCGAGATGAAGCCATTGCAAAGTGAGTGGGCCCTGCTTTTTTTTTTTTTTTAAAGTAATATTGAGTATATGCCTAATTTAAGAAATTAAATCATACAAAAAAATGTAGATTGATTTCCATGCTGCCCTCCCTCATTCCCCAACCCATCTTCCTCCCAGGTAAACAGTTCTGTCAGAAGTTGGGTGTGCATTTTTGTCAGACCTCTCTCCTGTACTGCACATACAAGTGTACATGTAATATAGTTGGGTGGTTTTATTTTTAATCAGTGGGATAATGAAATAATCCCTTGAAACAGTTCCTAAACAAATAAAAATTAAAAACATGACATGCATTTCAACTTCTGATACTAAAATTCTTTATATTCCAACCTTCTTTCTTAACCTGCATCCTTCCTTTCCCCTTCCTTCTAGAATATTTTTTTGTTTTTGCATATCTAGGATCAAAGATGTACTCCACTATGTTCAGCAGGATTCTCTTTCATCTTTTCTTTTTTCTTTTTTTTTCTTTCTTTTTTTTTTTTTTGGTGGTACTGGGGATTGAACTCAGGACCCTGCGCTTGCCAAGGCAGCACTTATTCTACTGAGCTATCTCCCTGGCCCTCTTTCATCATTTTCATCATCTCCATTTCTCAGTTTACATTTGGGTCCCCATTTCTGTCTGCTCAAACCTCATAGCAGGCTGTCAATTTTAGCTCATTTTCAGAAGTGTACAGTGTACTTGGTGAAGCTCACATTCCTGGCTCTGTATTTCTTCCCCTTGGATGCCCAGTACATTTAATGAATGGATACTTGAATAGCAATGTAATAGAGGAAGGGTATACTTTATGAATAGTAAAGGGTGAATTGTATGATAAAATTAAAGAATACAACAGTAAAAGTAAGATGCTAACGGTGGAAGTACCTTGGGAATGAAAAGCAGGTTGAAGTTAGTAGTACAAACTTGTCTTAGCAGAAAAGCTGAACATTAAGATCTGACCAAACTGGGCATGATGGTGCAAGCCTGTAATCCCAGGGCCGGGGAGATAGCTCAGTAGAATAAGCACTTCCCTGGTAAGTGCAAGGGCCTGAGTTCAATCCCCAGTTCCACCCCCCCCCAAAAAAAAAAGCCTGTAATCCCAGCACTCTGGGAGGATGAAGCAAAAGGATCTCAAGTTCAAGTCCAGCCTTAGTAATTAAGTAACTAGTAACTTAGTAATTAATTAAAACCCTGTCTCAAAATTTAAGTTGGGGCTGGAGAGATGGCTCAGTGGTCTAAAGCACCTACTTGGAACAAGCTTGGCAAAGTACAGGGACCACGGTTCGATCCCCCAGCACCACATGCCAGCCAGCTCCGCCCCCTGGTGGGCTGAGCTGGCCACACACACACACACACACACACACACACACACACACAATAAATAAATGTTAAAAAAAAAAAAAATTTAAGTTAAAGATGCCAGGGAGATGGCTCAGTAGAATAAGCGCTTCCCTGGCAAGTGCAAGGGCCTGAGTTCAATCCCTGGTTCCACAAAAAAAATTTAAAAAAAATAAAAAAATAAAGGGATGGGGTTATGGCTCACTGCGAAGGCTCTGGTTTCCGTCCCTAGTAAGGAGTGGGGATGGGGAGGTGGGTGTCCATATTCTGTCATCAGTTTGAAAGAAGAGAGATACAGTCAAGTGTCAGGGTACAGGAGAGAAAAGGTAAATTGTCCAGACTCCTTTCCTTAAGAAAAGTGGAAACTAGGGGCCAGGGAGATGGCTCAGTAGAATAAGCGCTTGCCTGACAAGTGCAAGGGCCTGAGTTCAATCCCCGGTTTCCACTTAGAAAAGTGGAAACTAACCCAGACCTGGTGAATAGGCCTGTAATCCCATGACTCTAGGAGGCTGAGACAGTAAATCACAAATCTGAGCCCATCCTGGGCAACTTTGGAGAGTCTCAAAAAACAAAAAGGGATGTAGTTCACAGGAAAGCCCTGAGTTTAATTACTAGTACAAAAAAGAAAAAAAGAGGCTACCAAATCTGCCCCGATCTGTGTAACGCATCCCCTTGCCTGCTGACATAGGAGGCCAGTTAATACCCTGAAGTCTGGTCAGATGGCACATTTTCCTCCCCAGAAGGACTCTGAAGAGGGCCACATTCTCCTGGACCTGGTGGAACAGCTGGGTGGGGAAAGTTTAGATCACAGGGCCCTGCGGTGGGGAAGCACTGAGTCCTGGTGGGCACAGTCGCAAATGGTGGGCAGGAAAGAGGGAGAACCCAGTAATCCGCGCCAGGGGCTGGACCCCCTCCCTCCAACAGCGTTAGTCAGCACATTTCCAGAGCTCCAGGCTGCTCCTGGCTCCACCTGCCGGCAGATGCCTGGAAGCTCTGGAGGACTGGGGTTTGATTTGACATTCTGGGACTGGACCGGCGTCCATGGCAACTGCTGCCAAGAGGATTTCCGCTGTTCACGCGCCAGCCAGCCAGTGACAGTGGCAGCTGTGGCTTTTGAGCTCCCGTGCCATTGGACAGGCACTTGGGCCATAGCCACAGTGGGCGGGGCTGACACTGTACTGAACTGTCTCAGCTGCCTCTAGCAAAGGCAATGGGTGACATACGTGTTGGTAGAAGTGAGTAATTGCTCAGTGGATTGGAGTCCAGAGAGGTGCTGGCCACAGCAGAGGCCTAAGCATTTTATGAGGGGTCCTTCCTGCTGCTCCTCCACCTACACTTCAATTTCTGCAGCCTTCGGAGGCCTAAGCAAGCATCCTCTGTAGTCCTGTCCTTCAGCTGTCCTTGTTCTGCACACGGGTAACTGCTGTGTGTGACCACTTTCTTGCCTTTACTACTTCAAGTACTCAAGGGAGTAGCTGACATAGAAAAGGCTAGATGGGGGCCGGGGAGATGGCTCAGTGGAATAAGCGCTTCCCTGGCAAGCACAAGGGCCTGAGTTCAATCCCCAGTTCCACCAAAAAAGAAAAGAAAAGGCTAGATGATGCACATTTAGGCAACTGGGCAACCAGTGCCAATAATAATTTGCTCCCACTTTTTATTCCCATTCCCCTCCCCAGATTAATTTTCTTCTGTATTTTACAAGTACAGTTCACAAATGTTAAGAAAGAGGGGTGAGGTGGCATACACGACTATAATCCCCTCTAATCCCAGCACTCGGGAAGCTGAGGCAGGGGATCACCGGGAGTTTGAGGCCAGGCTGGCTACATAGCAAATTCAAGGCCAGTCTGAACTACCTAGTCCCTGTCCCCTGCCCCATCCCCCAAAAAAAATTATTGTGGAAGGTGAGCAAATTATGAGATAAGAAATCATAAAATGCAAAAGTATGTGAGAATAGTTAGTAACCAGTGATTTTGTGCCAATACAAGGATTTTTTGTTCTATTTACAGTACTCAGGATTGAACCCAGGGTTGTTTTGCCACTGAGCGACATCCTTTTTCATTTTGAGACAGGGTTTCATTAAGTGCCTCAAGCTCTGCCTTGCACTGCAGCCTCACAAATAGCAGGAATTACAGACAAGCACTGTTGTATACATTGGGCAGTTTGTATTTAACAAAACTGCGTCTTGGGGTGTGTGTGTGAGAGAGAGAGAGAGACAGACAGACAGAAATAGGGTCTCACCATGTAATTCAGGCTGGTCTTGAACTCACTGTATAGCTCAGCCTGGCTTCAAATTCAGTGATCCTCCTGCCTCAGCCTTCTGAGAGCTGGGATTACAAACATGGGCCACCACACCTAGCCACATCTTATTTCTGGTTCTTTTCCTTACCAAGCAATAATACTTCCTAAACTATACCAGCCCTGATGTAAATACCTACATCAGGGCTGGTAAGATGGCTCAGTGGTCTAAAGCACCTACTCAGAACAAGCTTAGCAAAGCACAGGGACCACGGTTCAATTCCCCAGCACCACATGCCAGCCAGCCCCGCCCCCTGGTGGGCTGAGCTGGCCATACACACACACACACACATAAATAAAATAAATAAATTAAAAAAAAAAAAAAACCTACATCATGGTTCTGACTAGAGCCTGTATTCCATATTTTTACCAATTCTTCAGTTGAGTACTAGGAATAGCAAAGTTGTGAAGATCACCAATGCATGGCTTTTTTTTTTCTTTTTTTGAGTTGGGATTGTGTAGGCCAGGCTGGCCTGGTGATTGCAGCAGTCCTCCTCCCTCAGACCCCAGGTTCCTAAGTACTGAGATTTTTGTACATGCAGGTCCTTGAGACAGTTCCTTTAGGAAGGAGTAGCTAGTGAAAAGCAGTCCTTCCACATCTCCAGAGCATAAGTCCCCACCCTCTAGTTGGCACTACCCTTATGTGGGAAGGTTGTGTAGCTCCTTGGTGCTGCACGAGACCCTTAACCCCTCTGGGTTCCAGGCCTCATTTGTGGTCCTCTTCTAACCACTTTGGACCTTCCTCTCTCCATCTGGGAGGTGGAGATGACAGTCCATAAGGCTGGTTCCGAACAGTGGTTGAGGAGCTGCGCAAGAAAGCAAATTGCAGCTAGCCTTGTGCAGGCAACATGGTTTTCACTTACTGTTCATTGTGCATTTGGGTTAAGAACCTGTGTGCTGCTCCTGTGGGTTGGAGGTTCCCCAGGCCAAGAAGCAGTGGCTTCTGACACAAGGTGTCTGTACTCCCTGTGGCTTGTCTGTTTTCAGGAAGAATGCTGTGGAGCTGGAACTCGCCAAGTGCAAGATGGACATGATGTCTCTGAACAGCCAGCTGCTGGACGCCATTCAGCAGAAACTGAGCCTCTCACAGCAGCTTGAGGCTTGGCAGGTAAACAAGAACCGTGAGGCCCCAGACCAGAAAAGACTCCAGGAGTCTGAACCCAGAAGAGTGTAAGGAGAGTTTGCTACTAGACGGTCCATGTAACAGGTAAACAGTAGAGGGTCTGTATAACAGGTGAACGGTAACTGCTGTCTCCACCTAAAGAAATCCAGATCCCATGTCCCTGGGGAAGAACACTTTAAGTGCTCTTGAGAGAATGACAGCCCCCAGATTTGGAATGGAGTCCCTCCTTCAGCGGGGCACCTGAGCATGAGTTAAACTAGAGAAGCACCTGTTAACATGGAAAGGCAGAAGCCCCAAGTGACTGAAGGTAGTGCAGCCGCCCCACAGCACTGCTGCCCTTCCTTTTTCTACTGAGCACTGTGCTGGTGCAGGCCCTGGGAAAAATGAGTCAGTGTGTCCCTCTCAGGGCCCAGCATAGCTCCCTGCTAGGTGGGGGCTATGACTGGCTTTTTGTTGATGAGTTTGAGGTCACATACTGTCAGAATGTGAGTGTAGCCATTAACTCTTCTCCCTGAGAAATCCTAACAGGCAGGTGAAAAGCCACCTGCAGCTCCATGAGGTGAGCCCCACTGTGAACAGGTCAGCAGTGACCATTCCCCTCGGGACCCCTTGGGACTGGCCCCCGGAGCCCTGGCCACCAGAGTCCTGCTCACTGGTTCCTTGGCTCCTGCCCTGCAGCCAGCTAACCATGCCATGCTCACCACTGCTGTTCTCTCTCTTCTCTCCTGGCTGCAGTTTGCTTCCTCAGGGCTTTTTACTATCTGGCTCCTTTGGTTTCTGATCTAGTGGCCTTTCTCAGCTCCTGTATCAACAGCTTTAGTTGTACACCCCTCCTGCCTTTGAGGTGAGATTGAGCCCTGCATACCACCCATCCTCACCACTCTGCCATATCATCCTGCCCTGCCACCTCCCCTTGTGGCCAACCATGTCCTGTGTGCCAGAGCCTGGCATCATCTCTGTTCAGTGTGACCTGTCATCTAGTCCTGGCCTTCCCCTCCCTCACCACTGTTTCCCACAAGCTCAGCAGCATGTGGCCAAGTACTGACGTCAGGCTGACCCTGGTTTCTTGGTGCTGCCTTTGCATAAATGGACAGTTTTTCTTACGGAAATAATAGCAGACAGAACTAGGAGCAGCATATGTGTCTCTGCGAATTCTAAAGTAAACATCTCATGAGATAACCTTGACTAATTGGTTGCTTAAAGTATAAAATTCAGTTTATAATTTACCAGAAAAAAATATTGGCAGCCTTTTTTTTTCCGGGGGGTGGGAGCAACTTTGGAAGGTTTCCTGAAGGACCCTTTAGCATTCTCCTGTTGTATCACATAGCATAGATTTCACTGCGCATGTCCTCACCATAGGGCACTATGCCTGGAATTCTACACTGGTACCTCGGAGGTTGGTGCTATGTATCCAAGTCAGAGCAGAGGGGCAGGTGGAGAGGGGGTGGAGGAGGGCGAAGGAAGGGAGAAGGAGAGGTGCTGGGAAGGAAGCTGAGCATGATGTGGGGTAAGAGAAAGGCAGAGATGCAAGTCATGAGCAAGGGCTGGTGAAGCCCATACTCACTGCCTGGACCACCTGGCGACAAGACAAGAAGGTCCTTTGATTTTTCTCTGAAATTGCAAAGGCACTTGAGTGATGCCCATGGGATGGGTGGGAGCCTGCGTGAGACAGAGGTGGTGGTGGACAAGCTGGTCAGGAAGAGCGATGCAGCCCTCCCACATTCCTGCCCTTGTCTGTGAATGGCCACTCTGGCCTTAGTTCATCTGCCCCAGCTGCAGGGATCTCCCACTGGCTTACAGGATACCCACTGTTGGCTCCCTGCAGCATTTGGCAAGAAGCTCAGTCTCCACCAGCACGTCCCAGCAGCGCATCCCAGAGCTCACTGCTCGTTGCGCTTGCCACCACCGCTTACACAGGCCTGCTCAGCCAGTAATTTTCAGACTTTCTTCATGGAGAGCTTCTTTGTCAAATAGGATCTTCCACAGATTCAGAACCAGCCCATTAGGATGGAAAGAGAGTGGCCCTACTATTCAGAAGCTACCCTGTGAAGTAGAAAGGTACTGTTGTCAAAGATTGGCCTGGGAGTACATTTTCTAGGCACCCAACAAATAGGGTAAGGTCCTCCCACTGGACGCTAATAGACACAAGCCTGCATTGGTGCAGGAGATGCCCACAGCCTCTGCCACAGCCAGGGCTGATGGTGGATAGTGACAGCAGAGCCCAGGCAGCCTGTTCCCTGCCACATAGGGCATTAGCAGCTCAGGCTGGAAGTAATTTGAAGGAGCAAAAAAGGACAGAAGCCTCCTAAGGCCAGTCCATTATGCAGGAGAGTTGGCAAGCTGAGATCATCTTGGGCCTGTTGGGGTGGTGGCAGCAAACTAGACCACAGGCACCCAGATGATGACCAGGAGGCAGAAAAGACAGCTGGTCACAGACCAGGCTGCATGTTGGGATGGTGCTGCACAGTTACCTGGGCCCTTAGGGACAGATCCATGGGGCAGGGGCATGAGAGGATTCTGGTCAAGAGAAGCCAGCTCACGCCCTGAAGAGACCTGCGTGCCCCATAGCTGCTGTGCACATCCTGGCATTGCATCCATGCTGCTTTCTGGGTCAGGCAGTCCCAGCACTCTCTCATCTCATGCTCATCCTCATCTCTCGTCCTGCCATTTACCACCTCCCTGCTCACCCAAGCCAGGCGAGAGCTGCTGCTCAGCCCTGCTCACTCTCCTCTGCAGGATGACATGCACAGGGTCATTGACCGGCAGCTGATGGACACGCACCTGAAGGAACGGAGCCTGCCTGCTGCTGCCTTCTCCAGGGCCCACAGCGTGGGACGGGGTGCTGAGCCCAATACCACAGAAGGCAAACGGCTCTTCTCATTCTTCAGGAAAATTTAAGCTGGGAGGAGCCGGGTCCAGAGGATGGGTGGACACTGGAGGCAGCTGCGAAGGCATGTGAGCGCCTCCCCTGTGGCCTGGGCTGGGCACCGCACTACCCACCCACATGAGGGCAGTCAGTCCTAGAGCACTTGCTCCTTTTGGTCAGTGCAGATGGAGACCAAGAGGTAGGGGCCTACTATGACCTCTGAACACTGGTCTCAACAGAGGGACAGGTGGGAACCCTGTCCCCACTGCCCAGCCAAGCCTCAGCCTAGGTTTCCCCAGGATCCTGTTACCAAGCAGGGCTCACGCCACCTCCCAGAGTGGCCCCTTGGTTGCTGATCACAGCCCACCCCTCAGGCACTGCTGCCTCCTGTTTTAGAAAACAGGACAGAAGAAATGGAGGCTTCTGACTGCATGCCTCAGGAGGCCTGAGCCCCAGAGACCTTGTCCTGCAGGAGAGCAGCCCAGGCCCAAGCCTCCATTCCTGCCTAGCCACTGGCCCAGAGTTAAGGAGAGGCGCCACCCCTCACCCAGTGCATGCACGTCTGCTGGACCCCCAGTGGGCAGGAGGCCCAGTCTGTGGTTGCGGGGGCTGAGAGCTGGTGTCCCCAAGCTGCTGGGGCCATCCTAAGCCCCAGGGAGGAAGGCGGGCCCAGTTACCTGGCTGTCACCACTGCTCTCCAGCCTCCCTGAGAGCAGCCCAGCGTCCTCGCTGGTCCTCTACGGCTTTAGCCATCCAGCCCTTTCCCTTCATGGGGCCAAGCCTGGGAGGGGGCTCATTTTCCTCCCACAGCACCCTCCCCTTTCAGATATAATTTCTTGGTCCAGCCTAGCAAGTCCAGGCCACATATGGCTTCAGAGCACCACCACAGGGGCAGTGCTGGCACCACAGGGTGGATGGGGGAAGGCTGCTGGGAGCCTCTGGATACTGCCCGCCAGGCCTGCAGAAGGACCAGGCCTGCAGCCTGCTGCTTCTGCTGCTTCTGCAGCAGCCACCCCACATCTCTGCTGAGGCTCCGACTCAGAGGCTTCGCGGGCCCAGCCAGGCCGCAGCTGCTTACCACATTGAGCCTCCCTCACGGGATAAGCACAGCAGGGATGAGCGGAAAGAATGTACCTATAGATATGTACATATCACAGTGCTGTAATTTTGTATGTAGCAATCATGTAAATACATGTATGGATTTTATAATATACATATATAAATCTATAAAGGCATATTTTTAGAAAAATCAGCGCACCACTGCTTCTTTTGAAAATAGTCTGAATAAGAATAAAATGAATTTCTACAGAGCTCCCTGCCTCAGTCATTGGGTATGTGGGGGTTGCTGGATCCAAATGCAGCTGGCCTATCAGAGCAGCCCTAACCTGGAGGCCTTCTACTCTAGTGCCCACTGAATTAGTCCAGGAAGGGGGTGCCTCTCTTGAAGGGTAGCAGCACCCTGCTTTGTACCTGCCCTCAGGCACAGGCTCCTGTCATCCTAGCTTCACTGCAGGCTGAGCACAAGGCCTAGATGTGGCAGAAACTTTCAGGTACTGAAATCCTCCAAGCAAAAGCTTCCACTGTGTCCTTCCAGCCTTACAGAGAATACGTGGCTCTTCCCCTGGCGTCTTCTCACCCCAGTGCTTCCAGCCATTGCATACGTCCAGAGGGGAACATGACCTGGGCAAACCACTCAAAAAAGGCATCTGAAGGATGTCCCAGGGCCCCAACTGGCACCTGTGCAAGATTTAGGGCAAAAAGAAGAGCTGGCCACAACCAGTGGGAAAACGCCAGGCCCACCCAGATAGAGTACAGCTGGAGGAACAGCAAACAGACCCTGAAAGAAAATTTGGCAGCTTGAACCTTTATTTTTAGTATTTTTTAAAAAAGCATAATTAGAAACTTTCAATACAGAAATAATCCTAGCAAACCATTTAAAAGTTGTTTGACAGGAATTTCACATCAGGTCCACCAAGATGTCAGCCTACCCGAGAGTCATCCCCTCCCGCAACCCCCCCACCCCCATTCATGCATATTAACACTCAGCAGGACAGACAGTCCGTCCTCACCATCACCCCCCCACACATCTGGGTCTCGATGTCCAGTTGCCAGAAATCATGAGACTCCTGGCCTGGGCTGGAAGGTCCCAGGATCAACCCCCCTATTGCTTGAATTTGCAAGCACTCCCACTGGCTTCACCTGAGTGCTCAGACACAAGTACGACCCTACCACTACAGGAGCCAAGGGCTGTGTGCAACCTCACGGGCCACAGCCAGCCAGAACAGCCCTGAGGACGGACACCTGCTTCTGCTGGCTCCTCCAGACGAGACAAGTTGCCTGCAGCGCCTCCAGGGCACCTGCCACCTCAGGTCCACAGCCTCCAAGCCCAGGGGCTCCAAAGAGAAGGCCTAGGTCAGACCCTGGCTCTGACAGTTTGGACAAGTGGAGAGACAGGTGAGAAGAAACCCCATTTTTATTGATTAAAAACCCATCCACAGTGTTAACATGGAAAATCTGCAGTGATCTGTGATGTGATTGTCCAATCAGGGCTTTGCCTAGAAATCACCCAGGAAAAGAAATTTAATAAAACACATTGTGGTGTTGAAATAATTTCTTTCCAGGTTGCGTGATCCTTTTAGGGGAAATGGGAATGAAGTACCCAGGGAAGGAGGGGAACAGTAATCAAACACAGGCGATTCTGGTTTCTCTTCCAAGGAACTGGGGTGCACAGAACCAGGATGTCTCCAGCCCCACTGCCACTTTTCCCCACTAAGAAGTCTTCTTACTCTTTGTACTGAAATAGTTGTCAGTGATTCAATCTCAGAGGTGTGTCACCCCACTGTCCAGAAGCCCTGGTACCCACCCTCACATTCAGAGGTGTGCAGGGTACACTGTGGACTTGAATTCCAGCAAGAGGCCCTGGATGGCCAACATGGACAAGGATGCAAATTCCCTTTCCATTCCAAGGACCAAGGGCCCAGCCCCACAATGACAGGAAGCAATTCACTTTTTCTAAAACTACTGGACCCAAAGTGGGGTGGGTCACAACTGCTGCTGTGTCAATCAAACCTCAGGGTAAGAAAATGATGAGGAACTTAATTCATCTGATTTGGCTTCGCTTCACTTTATCTGTTAAGATAATGCTCCTCTTGCCTCCAGCAAGCCCCATCTCTGCACAAACACACCCCTACCTTTCTGTTGGAACTGAAACATGTTGGTAAGTTAGAAGCTGAGGCTCCCCTGGGTTTGTAGCAGAGGTGTCTAAGAGGCAGGACAAGAAACCTGTTGGCCAAAGGGTAGGAATGACTTCCCCTGTGGCACCAAAGGCCTGGGGACATCAGAGGGCACTGACTGCCTCAAGGCCAGGTTTCCCAGCTCCCAGAGCAACTATGGGGGCAGGAGAACAGGCAGAGGCCCTGGAGAGGGGTCAGGTCCGGTATGCCGGGACTGAAGCTGTCAGCCTGCAGGAAAGAATGAGCAACACAGAGCCCACTCCACCAACCCAGGCCAGCCCAAGACGAATAGAACATGGTGCCATCTCCTCCAGAAGCTGCTGGCCATTAGGTGGGACAGGAGGGCCAGGAGAGGGTCTGTTGCAGCAGGCTGGCATTAAGGAGGCAAAAGCCAGAGCAGGATGAGGGTGTGCAGCTGGTTAAAGCAATATACACTATGTACAAACTGGTTAATCAGTCCGCTCCGCTGGCAGCATCCTCGCCAGGTCCAGGCGCCTCGGCAGGGAGGAGGGCACCAGTGGGGAAGGGCAGGCTCCTCCAGCAGCTTCTTGGCACTGGGGGGATGGGGGAGGAAGTGCCGATGGCGCCTCCCAATACAAAAACATGGAGAGAATTCTTTAAATAACGGCACAAAACTGAGACTGTCCCCCGAGGACCCCCGCGGGCCTCGGGCTGGGGGAGGGACCACAGTGCAGTCTCTGCAGTGGACTGGGGCATTAGCAGCAGCGTTTCTTTCGTTTACTGTTCTTCGTGAGCTTCACCACGTCATTCTGTTGCTGCTGCTGTTGCTTCGCCAAGTTGTCTTTCTTTGCTCGAAGAACCAGCTCTGTGATGCAGTTGAACATCTGGAGACGACACAGCAGAGCTGCCTCAGACCTAGCAGGGAGGCCCCTGCTGGCTAGCATGCCCACCACCCACACCGTACCCCGGCCCAGCCCTGTTAATACTTGAAAGATGTTTTCTATGAACTGTCCTTAAAACCCTTTCTAGAAAGAGGCTGTAAATTATTAAGCCTTAGAAACCTGGAAAGGCAAATTTATTTTCATATTTAGAGGGGTTTTTTTTTTTTGTTTGTTTTTTTCTCTTTATGAGGCTGTAAATTATTTAAAGGTCAAAAAGGAACAATAAAGACCAGAACCATGAGGGCTAGGCAGATAGCTCAGGGATTAAACACCTGCTCAGGCAGCTGCAGGAACCAGGGTTCAATCCCTGGAGTGTTGTGCCTGCCCCACTGAGACAGCAATTGAGACTGGGCGTGGTGGCAAGTGCCTGTAATTCCAACTCTTGGGAGGCTGAAAACAGGATCACTACAAGTCAGATCTGTGTAGTGAGACCCTATAGACATTGTACTAAGTACACAAAAAATAAATAAAAAATAAAGAATAAAAAAAAAACAGAATCATGAACTGTGTGACGTGGGGCAGTCAATCTCTCAGGGATTTTCCAGTCATTTTTTAGTAGAGGAAGAACCCTTTCTAGAGATGGAATCTTCTGACAAGATGGGTAAAGATCCCCGGCTCTTTGGAGGCAGGAGTGGGTCCCAGCCCACCCACCCCATGCCACCTCACGACACCTGAGGCCCAGACATGATGTAACTTCTCCCAAGTACCCAGCATCCCTCCCTTGGCAACATCCAGCAAAGCTACTGATCCACAGTGCTCTACTGCTAGATGAGTAAGTACCAGCAAGCACAGCCACGGTGGGGGGTGCAGAGACATAAAAATGCACAGCCAACATGTCCTAACCACACTTCGTGCCAAGCACTTGATTTAATTCCTATTGGTCCTAGAAACTTGGAAGGGGGGGGGGGGACTCTGACTCCCCCAGATCCATAGATGAACAAATGAAGCCACAAGAGGGTGAGTCCACAATTTGGATCCTGGCCTGACTCAGAGAACCCCATGTTCCCACCACCATACACCCCATGTCCCCACCACCATACACCCCATGTCCCCTCATACAGTGGAGGCTGACTTCCCTGGAGCCTCTAGACTCTGCACATGGGGAAGGGAAGCCAGGGCTCCACGAAGGCCAGCAAGTGGGGCCAGGCTGGGCTGTAGCAAGAGTTCTGGCTTTTCTCGCACTAGATCACAATTGCTTTCCAGCAGGAACAGATGAAGGCAAGAGAGGCAGCCTTGGGCCTGCAGCTCGGCCAGGCTGCAGAGGCTGAGCATCTGCGGAGCATTTCAGGCCCTCACAGCAGGCCCACCTGAGCTCAGGAGGCCACAGGAAAGCAGGAAGAGGTGACAGCGGTGGTATGAGGGCAGGGCCAATGAGGCAGAGGGCTGGAATAGAAACCATGCTTGGCTTTGGGTTGGGACAGATCGAAGCTGACTCAGCCCCTTACTATAGGTGAGTAATATTCCTGAAACTATTAAATACTTAGGGCCTCAGTTTTCTTACCAAAACCAGGGGAGGCACGCCTACTTCAGAGGACTACTGGCATACAAGACCTTTACAAGGCTTGGAACACAGCAGACACTTAATAAATGCTCGTCACTACGATATTTTCGTTGGTCATTCTGACACCTGGGCAGGCTGGGAGTCAGGTGAGGGCCGTGGTGGTGAAGAGGCCACTGGCAGCCTCCCAGGAAGCATATGGGTCCTGCAGGTCACCTGGCTCTGTCCAGGGCTCACCTCTTCCACGTTGACATTCTCCTTGGCACTGGTCTCAAACAGCTGGATCCCCATCTGCCCGGCGAATTTGTAGGCATCTTCTGTCTCCACCACCTTGCGCTCAGGGTCATCATTCTTATTGCCCACTTTAAGGCAGAACACAGTCAGCTGGCCCCTCGGCCCCCAGCCCCACTGTCCCTGCCCTCAGAGCCCAGCCTCACCTAGTATTCGGCATACATCATCACAGTTCTGGTTGATTTCATGAAGCCACCGCTTGACATTGACAAAGGACTCTGCACTGGTGACATCATATACCACAATAACCCCGTGGGTCCCACGGTAATACCTGTAAGGGCAGGTGGCAGGCTTTAGTCCAGACAAGCACAGTCCCATTCCAACCCCCAGCAGGGCAGCAGGATAGCAGGGCAGCAGCCTGAGGAAGTCAAGGAAGCGAACATTGGGCACCCGCCTGGCCAGCAGGATGGGCTGTGGCTGCAATGGCTCCTCAGGCCTAGCCGCAGCGCAGCAGCTCAGGAGCAGGGCTGGCCCCGGGGCAATAGACTAGGTCTGAGCAGTCTGCCACCAGCTGGAAACTCTGCAAAGTTCTCATTTGATTTTAATTGTTTTCTCATGTAATTCAGGTAAGTCTTGTGTTTGACACTGTTCTCATTATCCTTGCTTAAACATTCAAAACTGCTTCTCTCCTCAAGTTTGATTTGGTAATCTACCGTCCCAAGTTGCTGCACCATTCATGAAGCCCTGGCAGTCTGCCTTCCCTTCACCAGAGGCAGGTGGCATGTCCCTTCCTGCTACTTTTGGCTCATCAGTGGCACCAACAAGGAGAGCATGGAGGCTCCAGCCCCCCTAGATGAGGGAGCCCACTATACCACCAAGCAGACATGCAACCCAGACCAGCCACAGCAGCAAGGAGACAAGCTGTCAAACATTCCTGCCAGAACTCCACTATGGACATCCCCATTTAGCCAGATCTTCAGGGAACGATGGAGGAGACCCAACACGTTGAGGGCCTCATGCTTCCCTGACGCTCGTCACAAAGTCAATGCCAGGCAGCACCCCTGGCCCTGACACTGCTTCACCCCCAGTGTCATGCCTCTGAGCCTTTGTCCCAAAGAGACTATTGGTGGGGGCTTCGCATTATTCCCAGGATGCAAACCAGCAGGGACAGGCTGCTCCCCACCCCCCAACCTTCTGGCCAAGACCTACCCAGCCCTGAGCCCTGCTCCTACAGCACACAGGGAAGGCAGCTCCTCCTGGCCCTGTCCTGGGGCAGCTCAAGATGCAATGGCCAGGCCGATGGGTGCAGCTCGGTCGCCATCTGCCTGCCAACTCTGTGGCAAGCACTACACAATCAAGGCTGATCTGAGAACAAAGATAAACCTTGGCTCCATCTATGAAAGGCTATGGAGTTTACAAAGATTACTGCTTTCACCTTGCCACACTCCAGTTCCTCAACTATAAAACAGGGACATAACCACTTAACACTTGGAGCAGTTGTGCGTAATAAAGAGAACACTAGCCACCACAAGGGCTGGGGAGCCTTATGGTCATTGTGGGTACCCTTCAATATCACTATTAATGTCCCTTCTATTCCTTTGGGGTCACAGAGATATAAGGAAAACAAGAGGCGGCACAGTGCAGCCGCCCTGGAGGCTGGAGGGACAGAAGCAAAGGAGCACCTGCCACGTGCAGGGGGCTGGTCAGATGTGTCCATCCTCTCTCTCCCTCACACCCTGAGGGAGATCTACCGGTGCCTCATTCTGCCCACAGCTGTGCTCCAAGGGTGCAGGGCTCCCTGACTTTGGGGAAACCAAGTAAGTTCACTGTCTCAGCTCTGGGATCCGGAACAGGCCAGGTCCGGACCCGGCCCACCTGCAGCTGCAGTCCGGAGTGCCTGCCCAGCACTGAGCAGCCTGGGAGACACATCCAGGGCAGGTGCAGAAATGTGCACTGAGAGCCACGAGGACAAGGACAGATGTCTGTCCCCTGCCAGCAAAGAAAAGTGAGCAGCAGGCTGCCTCTGCAACCCCTCCTTTGGTGAAGATCACAGCGGCACAAAGACCCCTGCTGCTCCCGCGAACCTCCACCTGCTCTGGGGCCCACTGAAGGGCTGCATCTGAGAGCAGGGGTTTCAGCTGAAGGTGTGGTTGGACTGGGCTCTGGCAAGGACGGTACCAGTGCTTCTGAATGTCCCGTTCCCAGCAAGAAGCTTCCATCCACCAAAACTTAGCTTCACACCACGTGGGGCTGGCGCCAAGAGCTCCCGACCTCAGTGATCTAACAACTCAGCCAGCAGGTGTCCGGATGGCTATTTCACCCGTCAGGACACTCTACGGTTGGCAGTGGAGTGACGCTGGAATGCTGGTGCCCAGCAGGACTCCAAGCCTTCCTCATGCCCTCTCCCTCTGCCCTGCACCCCACTTCCTTCCCCAGGTGCACCTCTCAGGGCCAACCAACCTCAGCGGCCCAGGGACAGAGCGAGAGCACCTGAACGGCCATAACGAGTGGGTTCTCTCATCAGGCTCATGGGATGGAGTTTCAGGTTCTCGTTCCACAACCTGAGTCGAAAAGGTTGTGCTCCAGGACGGCCCCCTCCCTGTACCATCACGGGGCTTAGTCTTCCTGTGGCCCCTCGGTGGGCCCTGTAGTGCCTCTTGCAGCGTGAAGGGCCAAACCACCAGCTATAACATATGCCCAAATCTCACACTCTTCAGACAGAGGCAGGCCAGCTAGTGCGGGCTCAGCCAGTGGCTGCAGGCCCCCTCCATGCAGGTCGCCCCACTTCTCCTACACCCAGGAAAAAGCACACATTACCCCCAGGCCACTGAGAACTAAAGGAGCAGTTCCACAGCTCAGCCTGGAAAGGAGCTAACTTCCTGGCGATGAGGGATGGCTGAGCAGACACCCCAGACCCCAGCACCTGTACCCAGCCCAAGCATTTCCATGGCCATAGGCCATAGGCCTCTGCCATCCTGAGCAACACACACACACACACACACACACACACACACACACTGACTTTAACTCCTAGGAAGAGGCCATGTGCCCTCACCCCCGTGCCTGGTGTGCCATGGAGCAGCACTGGCTTGGGCATCAGACAGACCTCAGTTCTGATCCTGACTAAGCAACCATGATTCATTTCATCCTTTCTGGGCCTATTTTCTTAGCCATAAAATAGAGATAAGCGTAAGATTCTTCACAGGGGATGAAAAGAAATAAAGTAGGTGATGTCTTTAGTGACAGACAGTACAGGTAGAATAAGAAAGAGTGGGATCAGGGCCCAGATCTGGAGACCTCAACCTCCTTACAAGGGTCTCCTGCTTGGACCTGTAGGCTCCAGCCGGCCCGCAGCTCTAGGTGTCAGTACAGCCTCAGGGGCCTGAGGCCCTACCCTTCTGCTCTATAGTCTTCACTGGCCCCTGCCAATACACCCAGGCCTGAGAGCCCTCATTCAGGAAGCTCAGAGCTCTGTGCTCAGGGAGTACCAGGTCTGCAAATCCCAGGGCTTCAGGGGGTCCTGGGCTCACCACTAAGTTAATAATGTCAGAGAACATCTCGCCTAGCTGTGTACACTGCAAGGCAACCTGGCCCTCCTCCCTGCCCAGCCAGTAGGCCTGGCCACCACCATGAGGGTTATCAAAGGATGCTAAGGGGCCAGAGGGGACCAGCCTGGGCTCAACCCTGACTCCATGCTGAAGGGAGGACAGGGGTCTCTGACAGGAAACTTCCCTCTTCCACTCAGAGGAACTGCTCTGGAGGGAAACGAAGGAGGTATCCACATCTCTGGCAGGCACCAGAGCATGGAGCCCAAGCTCTGCCACCACTGCGAACAGACTTCTCAAAAGTGCCCCAAACTGTCAAATGGAGATAAGAGCAGCACTGAGGAAGAGCAACAGGAGAGCTCCCCAAGATGACCATAAGCCCCAAAGTGCCAAGAGCAGGGCACCCAGACACAGATGTTAGGATTCAAGAAAACCCTAAACATAAAGGCTGGGAGTATGCCAAATCAAACCTCTCCTCCTTACGGGGAAAAAAAAAAAAAAAAAAAGATAACCTCCCGGGGACATACCTCAGGGGTACAGCACTTGCCTGGCCTGCTTCAGGCCCTGGGTTCAATCACTAGTACCGAAAATAAATAGGCCTAGAAGCAGAAGCACAGAGTTTGGGCAACTTGCTCAAGGATATACAGCAGAACAGAAATTTAAATCCCAAACTGTCTGCCCTCAAGCCATCCTCCTTCTGAAACCTGATCCATTAACAGGCTAAGCATCAGGAGCCCCTGTCAGGACTCAGAAACAGCTGGGTTTTGCTCCAGTGTCCAGCTAACAACACAACTTGTAGCAGCAAGTGAAGACTTTCCCATCACTGGCTTTGGGAGGCATAGGAAAGGCCTCCCACACAGCCATCCTCCTCCCAGAGCCTAGAGAGTCACCTTGAGGAGTCAGGATGGATGACAGAACCCGCACACTGCCAAAAGGAATCGCCACTGCCTTGGGAAGGGCACATCACACCTGGTGAGGCAAACGTAGCTGCTAGTGTCATTTTAAGGAGTGGTCAGAGGGTAAAGCTGAGTGCCCAAGAACAAGTACATGATCACCGTCCTGCCAGACACCTGAGCAGATGCTCAGCCACCACCTGCCTACCCAGCCAGAACACGTCTCCATACCCCCGACACATTGTCAGGAAGAGGCCAGGCACAATCAAACCCCTCTACCAAGGCCAGAAACAGCTCACTTCCTGACAGCCTTGGAGACCCACCCAGTGAAACTTCCATCATGACAAGTACGGTCACTCAACTCATGCCAGCAAACATCCAAGGCCAGAACATCCGAGGCCAGAGGTTCAAGTGGAAGTGAGGCAGGGCCAGACTCACGTGGAGGTGATGGTGCGGAAGCGCTCCTGCCCAGCTGTGTCCCAGATCTGGAGCTTCACCTTCTCCCCGTTGATCTCCACAGTCCGAATCTTGAAATCCACTCCGATCGTCGTGATGTAGCTGCCTGCACAGTCAGCACATCAGCAAGGCCCAGCAGGGAGCCTCAGTCAAGACTTTCAGGTTCTATGACGCCTCCCCCCAGAACACAGCCCTCAAGGAAGCTGAAGACTGTGGGGTGATGTCTTTTCCCTGCCTGAAATTGGTCTCTGATAATCTTAATCTTTCCTGTTCTTTTTTTTTTTTTTTGGAACCGGGGATTGAACTCAGGCCTTGTGCTTGCCAGGCAAGAGCTTATTCTACTGAGCCATCTCCCCGGCCGCTTTTACCTGTTCTTTTAAACTAGGTCCATCCCCAGCACCACAAAAATAAATAAACAAATAAATAAATAAATAAATAAAATAAACTAGGTCCAAATGTGACTTCCTCCCCTATCCCAAACCTGTCTTGATCCCCATCCCACCTTGATCTTTCCTATGCACTTGTCGCACTTTGCATAGTTGTCGGTGTCTTGCCTTCTGTGGGATGTTACATGGTAAGTAAGCTCTGAGTGGAATGAGAACTTGTTTTTTTTAGTGGCCAGGTCTTTGTAAGCATGGACTGGACCATTACCAGACTTTCTCCTCAAATCCATGAAGCAGGCGAGACAGGATACCACAGAACAGGTAACAATTTCAGAGTGATAAAGGTTACAAAGGAAATAAAATAAGGGATATGACTGGGGAAGAGGAATAAGCTGTAATGGCCAAGGTGAGGACATGTCAGTTGTCACCTGAGAATGAGTCAAACCTGGGTTTCTTTTCTATTTTAGTCAAAAAAAATTTAATGACCCAAAAACTGACTTCCTAACACACAAAAAGGACTTGAACTACAGTCTTAAAAACACTGTTCTCAGAGCCAGTGTGGTGGTGCACGCTTACTAGTCCTGGTACTTAAGCAGCTGAGGCAAGATGACTGCCCTAAGTTTAAGACCAGTCTCAACTACATAGTAAGTTCAAAGGCTAGCTTGAATTACAATGCCAGACTCTGTCTCAAAAAAAAAAAAAACATGCTCCAGGTGGAGGAGATAGCAGTAAAATAGCAATGGAATATGTAGGGTCATGTGAGGTCAAGCCCAAGATGGAAGTCACACAAAAGAGGTCAAAGCCAGAGCTCCAGATCACTGTCCTTTTCAAGAACCTGTACCCCTGTGAGTCATGCGGATGCACTGGGGATTTTAACCAGTGGTGTGAGCTGCATTTTAAATGGTTCGGGGGGGGGGAGGGGTGTAAAAGATGGATTTGAAGAGAAAGTCTGGTAACAGTCCAGTCCCCACTTACAAAGGCCTGGCCACTAAAAAAAAAAACAAAACACAGGTTCTCATTCCATTCAGAGCTTACTTACCACATAACATCCCACAGAAGGCAAGACACACCAACAACTATGCAAAGTGTGACAAGTGCATAGGAAAGATCAAGGTTAGGGGGCTAGGGAGATGGCTCAGTAGAATAAGCGCCTGCCTGGCAAGCTCAAGGGCCTGAGTTCAATCCCTGGTTGCGGGGGGGGGGGGGGGATCAAGGTGGGGTGGAGACCAAGATAGGTTTGGGGTAGGGGAGGAAGTCACATTTGAACCTAGTTTAAAAGAACAGGTAAGATTATCAAAGACCAAGATCAGGCTAGGAAAAGACATCCCACAGAGGCCAAAGCCCAACCAGAAGGCACCCAAAATCCCAATCAACACCTAGTGCTCCTTCAGGCCTGGCCAATGCCAAAGAGCGCAGGCCAGGACTGCAAACCCCAGTTAGGCAATCAGTAAACACTGAGTGAATCAGCCAGCACACAAACAAAACAAAAGAATGAGCAGGTAGTATGAGAAGAAAGCTGGAAACAAATTACCAGGTTCTGTTCTACATAGGACACCGGCAAAGTCTGGAGATGCTTTTGGTTTGTCACAATTGTCAGCATCTAGCAGCTAGATCTAACCCAGGTATTCAACACAACATCTTCCCACACACAGGAAAGCCCCACAGAATTAGGGGATCCATGCATCCACAGTGCTAAAACTTGCTGTAAACTCTACTTAGGTGAGAGAAGACCACCAAGGTTTTTGCATGGAGGAAAGACCACACCAGACAAGATGAACTCAGTGGTGTGGGGCACAGTGGTAGAGACTTCCACAGTGCATCCAGCTAGAACCAGTGAGATAAAACACTCAGGAAAGGAGAGACTGCAAATCAGAGTCCTCTTAAGAGTTGAAAGCTGGGGCTGGTGAGATGGCTCAGTGGTCTAAAGCACCTACTTAGAACAAGCTTAGCAAAGCACAGGACCACGGTTCAATTCCCCAGCACCACATGCCAGCCAGCCCTGCCCCCTGGTGGGCTGAGCTGGACACACACACACACACACACACACACACACACACAAATAAAATTTAAAAAAAAAAAAAAAAGAGTTGAAAGCTGATCAGACAGGAAGTCAGACCAACATTAAGGAGGAAGAGGGCTGTTTGCCAGCATAGGTAGAGGCTGTCCAGTAGTTAACATTCTGGAACAGCAACAACTGGTGTTTATACTACTCAGTGTGACATGCTATCTCAGGTGATCCTACAAGTAATGAGGCAAATGGACAATTATAACTCCTTTACACCACAACTGAGGCTCAGTCACAATCTCACAGTCACAGAGAAATCAACTCTCTCCAACACTGCAGTACTACAGAGCTGTCGCTGGACAGAGGAAAGAGCAACCCATTTCTCCACCAAAAGGGAAGATTAACCATATAATCACTTCCCAATCAAAACTTGCCCTTAAATGCATCAAAGGGAATTCCCCACAAGGCAGTCACACTTTAAGGCTGGGTGTGGTGCGCACACCTGTAATCCTGGCACTCAGGAGGCTGAGGCAGGATGATCGCTGTGAGTTCGAGGCCACCTGGGGCTACACAGTGAGTTCAAGGCCAACCTGAACGACATAGTGAGATCCTGTCTCAAAAAAAAAAAAAAAATAGAAGTCACACTTCAGTCCTTAATATTTAACATATCTAATACAATGGAGCATTACTCAACTATAAATAAAGATAAACTAGAGGCTTTTATAGACAGAGATCATACTCATAAGTGAAATAAACAAGACTGCATGTGTAAATATTATCTCACTAGTGTAAGAACCTGAAATAGTAAATAAAATCTGTAAGGTACAACAGATAGTGTGAAAGGGAAAGAAACTGTTCAGAGGGAAGGAACACCTGGGATCAGGGAGAAGAGGAAAGGAAGAAAGCAAGCAAGCAAACAGACATACATATGTATACACACAAGATAGCTTGAGTAATTGTACTGCTGACTTCTGCTGGCCTACTGAAATGAGCAGTTAATGTTCAAATTTGTTTTCTCTCCTTTTTAATTTTTCATAATTTCTTGACCAATTCTGCATACTTATATCTGATAAACTCACCTACCATCATTGAATTCAAATCAGTTTGCTTAGTGAAATTCTGTATTGTTGCTAATGGGTTTTTTCTTTTTTTTCTTTTTTTAACTATTTTTTATTCTCTCTATAAAATAAAGCGCAAAAAAAAAAACAACCCCAGAATTAAAAATTATTTAACAAACAGGAACATGTTTAACTTTACCAGTGATCAAAAAATAAATAAATAAATAAATTTAGGGGCTGGTGAGATAGCTCAGTGGAATAAGTGCTTGCCTGGCAAGTCCAAGGTCCTGAGTTCAATGCCTGGTACCAACAAAAATAAATAGATAAATAAATAAATAAATAAATAAATAAATAAGTTTACCAGTGATCTGGGGAACTTAAAACAGTATTTTTTGCATATTTGCTTAGCAAAAATAAAGCAATGATCAGAATTGAAAAGGGGCGTTTTTTTCAACCTCATCAGTGGGAATATAAATTTCCTTGGCTTCTTTGAAAGACAAGTTAGCAGAAGCCAGGAAAACTTTAAATGCACAGACTCTATGACCCAGTAACTCCACTCCTATGGAGCTACATGTACCAGAACAAACATACAACGTATCTCAGTAATGCAGCATCCCTTGAAACAGAAGCAACCAAAAACCACACACATAAAAGAGCATCACTAATGGATTACGGTATATCCATGCACAGCACAACAAGCTGCACAGCCCAGTATGCTTCACAACCACTAAAAAGAACCAGAGGGGGCTGTAGACAGCAACAAGCAGCACACTCTTGGTTCCAGTGGTGGCAAACCTCAGCACACGTGCCACCGCGGGCTGTCTGCATCACTGAGAGTTCTAAAAGGTTTACCATCGCTGATCATAGACTAAGAGAAGGATAAGTTTCTAAACAGCAGATGGAGTCAAAAACAAATCAAAAGGTATGCCCTACACTGAGCAGAAGCTCCCACGGCAGCAGAAGGGCAGGAGCGGAGATGACTGTCGTTCTTCACATTACCAACATCTTCCTGTAGGAATTTTTTTTTTTTTTGGTGGAACTGGGGCTTGAACTCAGACCCTTGTGCTTGCCAGGGAAGCATTTACTCTACTGAGCCATCTCCCCAGCCCCAATCAAAGGGTTCTGACCTAAGCTTCCCATCCTTTCTTTTCCTCCCCTGGCAGCCAAAAAGCGAAAGTTCCCTATATAGAGAAGAGCAAGTGTTTTCTAGTGCTGAGAGAAGATATTTCAAAACTGAAATACCAAGGAAAGACTCACCTGAGAAAGTGTTGTCTGCGAATCGTAACAGTAAACTGCTCTTGCCCACACCTGCAGGAGAGAAAACAGCAAGGTAAGCAAGCTAGTGGGTCCCTCCCACCCGCCCCAGCCATCCTCAATAAGATACTGCCTGGGTCCCAGCTCTTAAGAAACTCAGTACAGCCAAGTTTCTTCTCAAGGCCACTTCCTGTCCCCTTGAATCAGCCAGCCATCAAGAATGAGTCTTCCAGTTCCTGTATCTTTGCCTTCACCTTGTGTAAGACAAGCAGCTCCCAAATCCCCAGGCCCCAAAGAGGGAGATACCAGACAAGAGACAAGCAGGAGGGAGGACAACCAAATGAGGCTGCCCCCCACCCCGAACTGTATGCGAAACATGGACCCTAGAAAACCTCACACCACACATGCAGCTTCAGTTTTCTTTTCTGTTGTTCTTTTTGTTTTTAATTAGTGCATGAATATATTCATCATGGAGAGGTAGGAGGTGCACACATAGCATCTTAACCTTTGGAGCTTCAGTTTTCAAGTAGCTTGGAATGAAGAACTGCAGAACTATGAAGAATCCCTGAAACCATTCTGCAGGGGTATTCTGCAGGTGAGGAAATGGAGGTCCATGGGAGCTAGACCCACGTGTCGGCCATGTTACTTGGCGGAGTCAGTGCCAGACACACATCAGGACACCAGCCTAATGAACTCAGGCTCTTTAAGACATCAGTTTGTGGCTGCTTCTTCCTCAAATAGCCTTGCTTCCTCTTTGACCTCAACACACAGCAATTCTGGCCTGTCGAGTGTGTCTACCTGTCCCAGGTCTGTCTACTCAACCCCTAACCCCACCACCCATATGTCCAGCTTGACCAATCAGCCTCTCAAGGAAAGAATTAATATGCCTAAGTTCCAAAGCATGTGGGCACTCTGATACACCCAGAATTAACTACATCTCCTCAGATGAGGTAGCTAAGACTCCAAGAAGTCATGGAGCCAAGATCCAAATCCAGGGCTCTCAGAGCCGATCATGGTGGTGTGTGCCTGTAATCCCAGCATTAGGGAGGCTGAGCCAGGAAGACCGGCAAGAGTTTGAGACCAGTCTGGGCTACATAGTGAGTTCAAGGCCTGCCTGAACTATATAGCACAACCATGTCTCAAAAAACTAAGAGAAAAAGAAAGAGAGAAAGACAGCCAGCCATATACTAACTCCCAGCCATGACTAACTCCCAGTGTGACTGCTAGGAAAGTCTTGGATCCTGTCTCAGGAAAGAGAATAAAGCCATTCCATGGGGCTCCCACATCTCACTCCTGTTAGGATTTTCCCCTCATTTTTATTAGTTTTAACTAGTTTGTTTTCCTGCCTTTTCTGTATTTGTTTTTGTAAAGATGAAATTTTTTATGGAAATAACATCAAACCTGTGAGATCTTAACCTACAATTTCATAAATGCCCTGAAACTATGTACATGCAAATGCAGTTGAGGGCACATTCCTGTGTGTGGAAGAAGCCCACAGCTTTAATCTGATTCTCAAAAAGGGCACGGCTGCATCCCTAACCTCCAATAACCAAAGTTATAAACCACTGCTACAGACTGAGCGCACTACAACAGCTGACATCCTCTCGAGGCTGTCCCCTCTGAGGATCACTTCTGCTGTCCAGGATGCTCCAGACTTCTTGGAGTCTTGTTTCTCTGCACACAGGTGGACCCTACCTTCCCAAAGATGGGCCCCCAGGGGCAAGGCTCTCCTGAGAAGATTGGTACTGCACTCTCACACCACCTGCTGTGCAGCCCAGGCCTGGGGCCCTCTTGCTCAGAAGTACTTCCTCGTTGCTCTGATGTGAGGCTTCCTGCTAAGCCTAAGGAAAGCCCTAGTTCTTGGGCTGGGTCCTTACAGCATTCTGCCTGGCACCAGCACCCCATTGGCCCTGCTGCCTCCTTGCTTCCTCTTGGAGTCTTCTAGGTCCAGCTTACTCAGCTAAAAGTTCATGTCCAGGCCACTAGGCTGCGATATCCTCTGGGATGCAGATTGTGGCTCATTTATTCTGTGCATTCACAGTGCTGTAAGCTGGGCCCAGCACTTATGCACATCATTTACGACTGAATAAATGCCAATCTTACTGACAGCTATTGCTATCTAAGGGTATTACTGAAGCATTAACAAAAACCAAAATAGTAGTTTTCAAATATGGGGGGAGGGGGAAGCACTGAATCTTGTATGTATATATGTATGTATGAATGAATGAATGTATATATGTATGTATGTATGTGTTTTGGCAGTACCAAGGATCAAGCTTGTGACCTTGCACTTAACCAGGCAGGCACTTATGCCATTGAGCTAGCTCCCCGGCTGAATCTTGTATTTAAATTAAACTTTGTCCAACTCTCATATATCTACAACAGTCAAGGGAGAGGTGCTCTCTGCAATGACACAGCAGCTTCCAAAAACTGTGTAATTTGGTGCACCCCTCCATTTATCCCCAAATTCCTCTTCAAGCACAACTAAAACCCACTAACCGCTACAGTCACCACATGCCCTGCTTTGGACAAGACACCAACCTCTTGATACTGCTTTCCCAGAAATCCACTGAGACATGCCATCTTCCCAAATACTCCTGCAAGAGGCTTCCTTGGAGAGCACACTACTAGCACGCACCCTGCAACACTGGCATAAGAAAGAAGCAGAGCTTACCAATCTACTTTCACCACAACCAAAGCTTCCCTTAACTACTCCAGCTCTATTACTTCCTATCCTGCAAGAAGCACAGGCCCTTGTGGCCCTGGATGCCTCTTGGCAGCCAGGGGACACCACACTCAGTCACTGTCATGCTCCCCTGAGTGCTGCCTCTGGTCCTCCTCATGCCAGACACACTAAAGCCTTCAACCTGGCTATGCTCCTCCATGAGACTACAGGCGCTTCATCCTCAGTTCCAACTTACCGAGGACCCTTAGCTCAACCATCAAGGGAAGCGATCTCACTTTTAATCCCACTTCAACAATTCTCTCATGTATAAGCTTAGGCAAGTCACATTCCCCTCTATGAGCCTCTGAAGGGTTTTAACAAGGTCTCTGATGGCCATGAGGTCCTACAAAAGAAGACTTCTGGCCCAATGGATACAGAGGGAATGCTGTTACTGATCAAACTCAATGTCAGAAGAACATAAGACAATATAAAACCACAGGCATAAAGAAGAGATACAAAAGCTAAGGAAATATATACCAGAAGTGTGTACAATATGTCGGAGTGGGAAGAACTCTAGATTTATAAAGCAAGAAACTAACACCCATTGAGGGCCTACTGTTTACCAGCCCCACACCAGCTGCTCTCACACACATGATCATAGATGTGCTTCAGTTTTTGGCTTTGCTTCTGATTCGGGGTAAGCCAGTCACCTCCCCTAAGCCTTAGTTTCCTTATTTGACAAACCACATGGGCAATGGGTGAGAATCAAATGAGAGAGTGTTTGTGAAATCACTTGACGTACCTTAGGGAGGCATACATACAAGGAGCCCAGGGTGATGATGTCAGTTCCTGCTCCACCGAAAAGCTTACTTTGAACTCCCATGGCTACCAGCTCTCAGTCCCGTGTTTGGCTTTGAGTACCAGCTATTTGTTGGGGAAATCAAATAGCACGACAATCTATCTCCTCTCCACAACCCAGGCCTGCATGCTCAGACTGAACTAGGAACCAAACCACATAAATCTTGACCCAACGAGTCTTCTCCCACACCTGACTTCTGGGTGAAAAATCAATACACCATGCAAAATGAACTGTGAGAAAGCAGGCCAAAACCATCCCCTAGGTTTTACACAGAAGAAAAGCCAATAAAGTGCATCTTCTTGCTGGATTTAGACCTTTCGCTTTTGGATATCAGTGCTCAGGGCCCAGATGGCTTGTAGAGAGACAAAGAAGATCTTCGATCACAGTAGACTGAATTTTAATTCCAAAAGGACAGAAATCACCCTGGTACCAACCACTCAGAACCAAGACCAGGATGGAAAGCAAATCCTATAAAGAAAGGCATAAGCCTCAGAACCCCAGGAGTGCCAAGTGTCTAAGTGCAAGACTACACAGCTCACCTGGTTTTCTTTCATTCAAACCACAACCAATCATTCCTCCACCTTTCTAGCCCTTTCCCATCCCCAGTTACTCTTTTATTTCACTGGTTAGCTCCTAACTTCTCCCCTAATATCTCCCTTCCACCAGCAACCACAGAAACCTTAAGCCAGCTTTCCCCTGATCCAAACCCACCACATCCTAATCCAGCTTTACAAGTGAGACAAACATTACCCACTTTCATTATTTATCTATGACACTGTCACCCACCACTCCTATATTCTGGTTCTCAAAAAGAACCCGGGCCTCTCTTTCTTTAACTTTATGGGCTTTAGAACTAACCTGGCCTCTGCCTCCAGTCACATCATCCTCCTCTCCACTGGATTCAGGCTTGGTCTACAAACTTAGTTGCACCCAAGTCTCCTTCCTGGATGGACATCATATAAAGTTCCCATAAACCTTCTGGGCCCTGCCTCTCTGACCTCTTGGTCACCTATAAACCAGCTCACCCGTCATATTCCAAACACCTCTAAAACCCTCCAACTTCTGCCAGTAAAGAGTCTATCTTTGCTAAGGAGACACAATGTTCATTCATTAAACAAGTACATACTATTAAGCACTTGCTGGCTATAACACTCCTGTAATTCGGGCCACCCCCAAAGCCCCTCTGGTAGACAGCAAGGTATCAGAAAGCATTCACTGACCACTTGCCGTGTGCCAGGCTCAGTCAGCTACCAAATAAAATACTACGTGTGCATCATCTCAGTGAACCACTCACACTGCGCTGTGAGGCAGATCTACGGTTATACCACTGCACCGATGAGGAAACTGGACCATGCACAGATTTAACAATCCAGCAGAAGTGTGAAGTGCTTTAACTGTCTTTAAACCTCAGTGCAACTGAAAACTCACTGCAATCCCAGGAGGTAAGTTCTAAGAATGTCTCCAGTTCACGGAGAAGTAAGTCTCACCAAAGATACCGACGATGTAAACGATGATACTAGCTAACATTTATTCAGCGCTTATATGCACCAGCGCAGGCACCAAGCACTTTGCCTACTTGACCACACTGAATACGTACACTACCCAACGACGCAAGTCCCCCACTTCTCAGATGTAGGAACTGAGGTTCAGAAAGGTGAAGCAACTTGCCCAAGGTCACACAGTGCAGAAGCTGGTAGTCTCAGGACTCGAACCCAGGTCTCTCCAACTCCAGAGATCGCGCGACTTGACCAAGGTCACACGTGAAGTAAGAGCCGGAGCAGGGAGTGGACCCCGCGCTCCCGGGCCCTCCACTCCGCGCCCAGCTCCCCAGCCTCCCCACGCTGCGCCCCGGGGGCCAGCGGCCGCTGGGCAGTCCGGCCTCGCGCGAGCCGGCAGCTCCCTGCCCGCCTGCCCGCCTGCCCGCCCGCCCCGAGGCCCCGGCGGGCCGCGCCCGGCAGGGCCCGCGCCGCCTCCGGCCGCTGCGGCCCTCACCGCTGTCGCCGATGATGAGCAGCTTGAAGAGGTGGTCGTAGTCCCGGGCCATGGCGGGCGGGGGCGGTGCGCGCAGGCGGGCGGGGTCGGTACTGGCCTCCCGAACCGCAGCTCCCTCCGGGCTGCTCCGGCAGCGGCGGATTCACTTCCCGAACAAACAGCCGGAACTGACAGAAACACCTCCCTCTGCTCCCCCTCCTCCTTCTCCTCCTCCTCAGCAGCCGCCGCCGGTGCCACAGCCTCCCTCCTGCCCGCCCCGCCCCGCCACAGCGCAGGCGCAGGGCTTGGGCCCGCCTCTGCGCAGCCGCAAACCTGGCCGGCCGCGCCCTCGTCGCGCACGCGCACCGCGCACGCGCCTTAACCAAATCCGGGAGGGCGTGGGCCGGTTTTCCTCCGTGCTTCTCGCCGCCGCGGTCTGCAGTCCTGAGTACTTGAGGGGTGCAGCCAGTGTCCAGCTCTACCCGAAGGAAGCCCAGGCTGCCAGAGGAGCCCGTCTGTGAGGTCCTCACTCCCTCACCTTCAAGACCCTGGCACGCGCTGCGGAGAGGAAACGACCAGCGCGGAGCGGCCGGGGGGCGGGGTTCCTCTGGTCCCGGGACTGGGGTGGCGTTGCAGACTTGGTACCCCGCCCCTCTGGGCGCCTGTCCCGCTTCCGCGCGGCTGGACCTCCGAGGTGGCTGCCTCGTTAGCTTCGGAATCGTCCTCTGGAGCGTCGCTGTTCGGAGTGTGGCTTGAGGTCAGCGCAGGGTCGAAAGCACACACCAGCCCTGTGACCTCTGGAGCCATCAGCCGCAGAGTCGGAGGCCGGTGCAGCTAGGAAGTGGGTGACCCTCTGTGTGAGAGGCACCCACGCACCGAAAATAGCCTCTGCCTCGGCTTCAGTTTCACACCACCTGCAGACACGTCTCGCAAAACCGTGCGGTTAGGGAGGACAGGGCTGAACGGAAGTTGAGCAGTGCGCCTCACCTCAGCTCCAGGTTTTTCCAGTTTCACAATGAGCTCCCACTTAGCCCTTTAGAACTAGAAGGTTGTTTCCACTGCCATCCTACTATGGAACTGTTGAGTTTTAAGTTCCTTATTATGTTTTTGATAACTCTGTCCCTTTCCAAAAATCAGGCACCTGTTGGATAGTCTACCTATTTTATCAAACTTCCTTTTCTTTCACTTTATAAAAGTAATGATCGTTGTTTTTGGTTTGTTTTGTTTTTTTTTTCCGAGTGTATGGGGGTTCTTTTTGGCGGCACCAAGGATTGAACTCAGACCCTTGCGATTGCCAGGCAAGCGCTTATTCTACTGAGCCATCTCCCTGGCCCTAATAATCGTTGTTTAAAAAAAAAAAAAAAAATCAGGGGTAACCTGCTCAGCCTTTCTGTCTTTCCGACAGGAGCTTTCTTTCCCACAATAAATATATTCTGCTCTAAAAAAAAAAAAAAAAAAAAAAAAAAACTACAAGGTAGATATACGCCTAACATCTACATCTATAATCCCAGCTAAAGGGAAGACTGAGGCGAAAAGATTACAAATTCAAGGCCAGTCTAGGCAATTTAAGGAGACCTAATCTCAAAATAAAGACTGTAAAGCACCCGAGTTCCATCTGCAGAACTGGGATGGGGTCAGTACAGAATCATACCAAACAATTCAAGTCAGATTTTCCTTTTGAGCCACTCCTCACAGCTAACCCCTGTTAAGAGTTTCTTGGATACCTTAAAACGCTTAACTGGGCTGGCGAAGCACACCTATCATCCCAACGCTGGGGAGTCTGAGGCAGAAGGATCATTTCGACTGTGAGTCCAGGCTGGACTGCACAGCTAGACCCTGTCTCAAAAAGATTTAAAAAGAGGGGATCCACATCCTTAGTGGTAGAGTTCTTGTTCCCAAAATGCTTATAATAGTTGAATGTACCCCGGTTCCGAAAAAAAAAAATAGTTGAATGTATAGCTTTCCACACCAATACAAACATGGATATTGCTTTGTAATCTTTAACAGTATACTTCTGTCAGCTGCATGGCATGGTATGGTACTCCCTCTGATGGTTGCCCTATCCCTTAACTCATGCTGTTAGTAGATGTGCATGCAGTTCATGATTTTTTGTCATTATTAACAGTGTTACAGGCAAGATCCTTTAGCAGCAGGCAGAGTGTCTGTCTCTGGTCGTACTTGTTTTTCCAGGAGCACAGAATGAGTGTGATGAAGATGAACCTTGGCTTGGAATCTGAAGGTGTGGACTGGGGAGAGGAGTTGCTGTGCTTTTGATTGAAAAGTCCTAGACCTGGGAAGGAAGTGTTGTCTTCCTTTGTCCCAAGGGTTTTAGGAAATAAAGAAGCCTCAGGGTAACCATCAGATAAGCATACTAGCATTGAAGTGCCTATAAGGCAGTTGGTCATTGTCATCTTCACAACCTTCTCTGAGGTCAGAAAGACTGGTTTTAATCCCAGTTTTGAAATCTGTGTCCCACCCCTAAAAAGCTGTTGCCTATGTTATTGTCTTAGAGCCCCAGTTTCCTCACAGAATACCGTGGCTATGAGGTTAAGTGACCTGGCATACTGTGTGCGACAGTAACCAGTGTTAAGGTAATTTTGCACTGACTTCATGTTTCCAGCCATTTCCTGTTGTAGGCTCTTCCATACCTTCCCAAGGCAGGTTCTTGTTATGAGGGCTACAGAATTCTTTGGGGAAATAAAACATTATTGGCCATTATGAAGGGAAGATGCTAGATTTTTCCCAGAATGTATCCACTGGAACACAACAGGCATTAACTTTTCCAATTATTCAGTAGCAGGTGCTTTCTGTTTATTATGTTCATGGATTGTAGAGGTTATCCATGAACGGTTTCCCTCCAAATGTTCACTGTTGTATTAGAGTTAAGAAATACTCATGAGGAATTAAAAATGCATGATACTGTAGTAAAATTGCTGTCAAGTAAGCTGTCGACTTCAGAGCAGGAAAGCTATCACTGCTACTAGAATGATGGGGAAAGGATTTCATCATAAAGATTTCATGACACCAGAATATGAGAGCCTTGAATGCCCAGTGTATTCAGACAGCCGCTGTCACAGCCCCTGAGAATTATCAGTTTGGCTTGGAGGGGAAAGTCCCTGCTGGCCAGGCTATGTGCCTGCCATCCCAAAATGAATCTGAGTACACTTTCCTGTAGAAACATTGTTTTACATTTACTTCAACCACTGTTGCATGAGTTTTGTTAAAAACCTGTCAGGCTCTTTCTCTAGCTTCCATATATACATATATATATATATATATATATATATATATATATATATATATATATGAATGTAAATGTCTACACCCTGATCGGTATCGGTATGTACCAAGGATATCAAGCTTTTTCCTCTTCTGAGCAGCCAGCTTACAGATGAGATTTTGCAATACCACCTATTTGTCCATTAGACACTACAGTTGGGAAGCCCTGGAAGTTTTTTTGTTTTTGTTTTTGTTTTTTTTTTTTTTTTGTGGAACCGGAGATTGCGCTCAGGCCCTTGCATTTGCCAGGAAAGCACTTACTCTATTGAGCCATCTCCCCAGCCCAAAAGTGTTT